TAAAATATTTTCATCTGAGTTTTGAACGACAAAATTAATTAACAACCTTTAAGTGTTTGCTGCCAGTATGCCTGTAGTCCTGCCTGTTAACAGTGTAGTCTCATCCTCTGTCTCAGGTCAGTATTGGTCGTCACTCAAGCCGTTGGCGGGCACAGTGGGTATGTCGTTTCTGGGTGCCCAGAGGAAAGACTGTGAGGAAACAGACACCGTCAATGCCATGGCGTCCCTCTCCGTGGGGGTTTTGACCAACAAAAGGTGCGTCACGATGAGGACATTTTGCTAAATGGAATTAATACAATTTGTCATTCCTCTATAGTGCTCAATCCTCTTCTGAACACAATATGTTTGGTAATTTACAGTGTAACTATTATTTAAAACTTTAAAATAAACTATAAAGTTAAATAAAGCTATTGAAATAAAGCTGAGTAATAGTAATATTTCAATAAAAACATAATAAAATGACTAAAATTAAAGATATATATATATATATATATATATAATATTCAAAATATAAATAAGAACTACATAAATACTATTAAAATATCATAGGGATTTACAACATGTTCTTCAACTGAGTTTACTCACCAAAAAAATTCAGCCAAATTATCCCACAGGATTTTGTTTTTACAGAAAGAGGCACATCTGTAATCCAAACTAATTCATGCTAATGTTTTCATAGGTGACCAATTCCCATCTAGTCTATTGTGGGCGTTTCACTGCTGTAGGAAATTATGCTTTTGATGCATTCTTAGGCATAACAACCGCATGGTACTTGTTTGATGCTAAACATAGACCCAATTTTTTTACAGCCTTGCTGATGAACCCATGGAGCACGACGACGACTCCCTTTAAACCAGGTCTTTACTCGTCTGAAAAACTGTCCAGAACCAAACGCCGCTCCACATGACGTGAACGAGCCGTGCCTCAGACCAGCAGTGCCTCAGGGGGCGTGGCTTCCTCATCATGGCCCCTCCCCCAAGACGCCACCTCAACACTGACCACCAGCGCAGCGCGGCTAAGCTAACAACACAGCTACAGTTCGGCTGGGACTCTGGGATCCACTTCATCGTCTCCATCATGCAAACAATCACACTAGAACGCATGAGGCCTCTTCGTGCGTTAGTGTGTTTGTAACGTTCTCTAAAAGGACGCGCTCGCGAAGTCGCAAATATTCACCTCTGGTGCCTCAAAAGAGACTATTTACTTTAGCTGGAGATGCGAAACCAGATTTGTGGGAACAGTTGAGGATTATTTAACCTTTTTTTAAAGGCAGCCCTCTTTAATACCCCTGACAAGTGAACTATTGAAGTGCTGAGAGAAAATAAGGGGTTTCCTTGCACCTGGCAACCGCAAAGTGGCTCCACTCTATGATGTCATTACTATTAACCAATTTAACCACTAAAGAAGGAGAAGAAATAACGATCTCGACAACTGTGGGTTTTATAAATCTTAATTTTTGCACTGTGCATTCCATAATGTGAAATTTTCCAAACTTGTGGGAAAAGAAAGATCTAATTCTGTATCTAGTTTGACGCTTAACATTCTTTTAAAGTGAAGCAAAAAAAAACAAAAAAAAAACAGTTGCATTCTTTGTCAAGTTCAGATTACATTCGACCTGCATTCCCAGCCCGAAAGCTGTAAACCTGAAAACTTCAAGATACTTCTTTGTACTGATTCTGTACATCTGATGTTTTTAAAGGCCAGAGGGACTATTAGCAAGTTTATTGCACACACACACCTAGCCAAAACACACACATATATGTCCATATGTTGCATCCAAATGACCACTGTACATTTAATATCGTGGACACAGGAAGTGCTTACACTCTCCCTAGACTAACTATAACGCAAAGTAGATCAGTCTCTCTTTAGACCAAACTAATATGAGTATGATTTGTATATGTGTGTGTCCATGTGTATCTATCAGTCATGTATTTAGTCTGTTCTGTATTTACAACCAAACCTCAATTGACCACAAGCAAAAACGCAAAACGACAATTGAATGGGCTCTCGAAGCCACTTTAACGTTAAATCAATTCTCTGTATTTTTCATTGATCTTTGTTGTTTTGGACAAGGGAAACATCCAGCCTTTTAACCTGTGGAGGAGACGTTTCTAAAGTGTTTGTGCATTTAATGAGTTTACTTCATTGCTGTGCACTTCTTTTTCTTTTCTTTTTTTTACGAGGGATGCATTGTTTTTGGATGGCGTTCTGTTTTCCACAGCCTGCATATAGATGTATAATTCACACCAGTTGTGTGGATGAACTTTATAGTGATATTAAATATGTCTCTCGGCCGCTGGGATTCACATTTACGCCATCTTCAATGAACCAAAATGAACATCACACCAAGCGGACAGACTCTTCGAATGCTGTGCCACTCATCAGCACATTCGGTTTAACACTTATTTGGCCTTTCAAAACAAATGTTTTTCCCAAAATATGGTTGGCTACTTTCTAGTTGCGTAATCCTACCAGGTCAAACCACCGAGAATAATGCGCTGTAAGTTATCTTCCACATGCTGTATCAATATCTCACGGTTAAAGTCTGGCAGAACAGTTCATGGTGCTTGTTTGACTTTTGCGTTGTGCTTTCGGGTTGATGAACGCACCCTACGACTTGATTTCAAGTGTCGGATTTGTTCCGTTATTCAGCATGACTTGGATGACAATGACCAAATCTTATCTTTTTTTGAGTCTGCACAACCATTTACCTCTGTATTTACAACCAAAATACAGCGTTAACATGCTTTCTTGCGTTCACTACAAGAAACAATCGTGACCTGACAAATTGCTGTTATTGTGTAATAAAATAGAGGCATTCCTATACAGATTTCCACAATGCTGCAGCTGCACCTGCCCGACCAACGAGTCTTTACTTCCTCCCTCTTTTGCCTCGTACCAAACCACTGTGGATAGTTATGCGCTTGTATGATTCCATGTATATAGCACCAACCTCCCGTTTATCGATGTTTTGTGTTCATATGGCTGTTTTCATGAAGACCCTGGGTAGCCTTTGCCCATCAGACCCCCATGAAGACTGTTGTAAAATAGAGCGTAATGAAGTCATAGCTAATCTCTAAACTAGCGGCAATCTTGCTGCATATTTATAGTACTTCAAACGGTGCACTTGCATATTACCATCCACAAAACACACCTGTTCGCCTTCAACGTTTGATAAAAACCAGAAATCGCCTGATCGCGACTAAATTCGACAGCACGCACTTAGTGAAAGTTTCGCCGTGTCGTTTCGAACCGCGAATACAAACAGATCTCGACATTCCCTGGCAGTTTCGGACACTGCTATGCGTCTTATATACAGTTATATTCCAGTGGTGTATTTTTACAATAGCTTTGTGCATTTTTACTGTTTCGATATACCTCTCAAAGCGTTTGTATTCTCTCGTCTCTCCGAACCCTTTATGAAGTAAAATGGAGAGCGTGTGCTGTTGTCTTCACTCCTGTAAAAGCAAACCAGCGCCGTCTTAATTCCTCTCTCATTTATTTCCCTTCTCCTTGTTGTATGGACGATGTAAATAGTTACCAGTACCACCAGAGAGACTTCACCGATGTGCCTTGAAGTACTTCACCTGTCGACCCCACTAACTGGATCTGTTTAACAAAGAATAACAGAAATTATGTTTTCGAATCTTCCTGTGCTTAACGATTCCCTTGTTAATTTCAGACTTCTTTTATTTCTCTGTGTATAGAAAAGAATGTCTATTTTGTACTGTTTCTATCTTCCTAATTAAAATGAAAGCATTTTTTTTTTCTTTTGCCTGAATTTCGTTCGGCTTTGTCATTTTTATTTGTTCATTCTGGTGCTCTGAACATCAAATACCAGTGAACTGAATCAAATGAATCAAATGTGTCACATGTGGACATCCATCTGTTTTCTATTATTTGTCAAAAATTCACTCAGATCTACAGCTTGATCTTTTTATTATTCGAATGTAGCATTGCCATTACAAAAATACTATGGAAACCACAATACCTGCAATCTCCTCCAAAATACAAATGTTGTTACTACACTGTAAAAACATTAAATGATCAATAAGTTATGACAAAATATGTTTTTACATTGCTTTAACTCATCAAAATAAGTTAAGTTAAAACTATTTTATTTAAGTCAGTTTTGGTGATTGTACTTAAGTTTTTAATTTGCTCATCCAAAAACTAAACACATTTACACTATATATATATATATATATGAAATTAATGAAATGTGTCACATGTGTACATACATCTGTTTTCTGTTATTTGTCAAAAATTCTCTCAGATCCTACATCTTTTTGTTATTTCAACAAAGCATTATCATTACAAAATATATTTTGGAAACTAAAATGCCCGCATTCTCCACCAAAATACAGCTGTTTTTACTTATGTAAAACTGGTCATTTGGTAATTTAGTCATCCAAAAAAAAAAACGTATACTGAAATCCTCTTAAACTTTTTAAAGGAGATGGCATATGAGTTTTTTTAGTCTTTTAATATTAACTGTTGCCATGATCAATTTTGATAAAAGAATGAACCAGTATTGCTCACGCACACAACCATGAAATGTGAAATACTTGTTCAAATATGAGCGCGGGACGCCTGAAGCCACTGGATCATCAGCAGTTCATCTGGTCACTGGCTCCTTCTGTAACACGTTTGGGCTTCTGCTTTAGTTTGGGCCACTATGGCAGTGTGTTTTGCAGTGATCTTCAAACATACATCTTGCAATTGCCTTACCTAATTTACACATAGTAAACAGCAGAACATGGCACTTTTGTGGTGAGGCGGTCTGTCTTATTTCTTGCCAACCAGACATATATTCATTGAAGCCTCAAAATAAAAGGATAATGCCAAGTTTATGTGCAAACCACGTTTAGCCAGCACTTTATTCTAATAAAGTAATTAGCAGTGTCTGTCTGGCTGGATCCTAAAGAAATCGTACTAGCAGAACGTCAACAACTTTCTCAGGGTTTTTTCCCCCCCTGGATCAAAATTCTTCAAAATAGTTTTTGACAGTTTTTATTGTGCTGAAAGGCAGTAACATACTCATAAAGTAACTGTCAGATAACTTACTTTTATGCATTTGCTATTCACCAAGTCGTCATATTGTAGAATCAATCTCTTGAGCTTTATTTATTTTTAAATGCGTAACAACCTTTATACATTTAGACAAATGTGGTATATATACCATGACAAAATTGTAACACTGTCACAAAAGCAATAATGTTGGCTAATATACAGCATAAATGGCAAGCGCAACAACTCTGAAATGATCGGATCTGTATATCAGAGAATATAGTGAGTCTACGTAGCATTTTTCCATTAGGCTAAGGTTAGCTATACATGTAGAGTCCTTATGACAGTCAATGTCTGCCTCTGTGCCTCCATACACACTGATCTCAGATCAGCACTCTGCCATTGAATCAGAGTCGTTTCCAGAGTTTGATACAGAGTCTGCGTTTAGATACGGACCACCGCTGGTGTCTGTTCCTCTTGAGGGTCGTTTTTTTTAATTTTGTTGTATAGCTCCATTGGGAGAAGGGAAAGATTGTTGGCTTGATGTTGACACATGATGTCCTCTGGGATAATGGGATACTGTTAAGACAGACAGAAGAGGAGAAGATGTCAGAAATGTGCTTTATAATCAAAATCACTAATACATTTAAAAATTAATTCGCCACAGAAGACCCTTTGTAAATGGACTATTTGCAATGTATGAATGGTGCTATATACTCCATTTAAAATTATTGAACATTTTCTTACTTATGTTATATTTTGATTATTGTTATATGAATGTCATCTTAATTCATATAGAGACTATATGTATGAAGTATGAAAACGAACTCAATAGAAAGTCAAACATTGGTAGGATAAAACATTTGGGAGTTGAAGTGTATTTACGGTTTGGATTGGTGCAACTGGATTCCTTCATAACAGCTTTATTTAAATTGCCCAATCGATTTGCTGGAATCTGCACATCATCACAGCCTAAAGCGAAAGATTCATGCCCATGAGCACCGGCAAACATGTTGACTCATCTCATATAAATGAAGGACATTGCTGAAGTAATACAGCATGTGCTGAATATGACAAGTCCAAGTAAACCACAACCCAAAATAAGTCCTGACAAAGAGTCATAGTCACAATGTTTCCATTAACAGCACAGATATTTTTCCACAAATCGGCCAATCAAGACTGGAGGACTTAAAAAATAACACTTCAAATTAAATATGTGATTGAGATTATGATAACCGCCTTTCCTGAATCAAAAAACTGGTTCAAAGCTGAATTTCAAGTATCTTAAAATATATATTTTTGTTATTTGTGATTTTGGTTTGTTTAGAAGTTATATTATGGCTAAAGCTTTGTAATAGAACATGACCCCGTTATTAATCTTAAGATGGACTGTAATGGCACACTTTTATCAAAATAATAATAATAATTCATATGGGCTACATGTTTTTTTTTTTTGTTTTTTTTTTAATTAAACAGTCAGACATACATACAAACCAACATAGTGCAGTAGTGAACAATTTTGTAATTCCATAATTCCAGAAGTGACATAAGAGTGATTTAAGTGTTTGATCTAAGTGTGTATGTGAGTGTGGGTATGTGTGTGTATGCGTAATCAAAGTAACCATTTATTATTTATAACCATTGTCATTACCATCACCACCCCCACTCCCCACTACCACCATATTGCCAATATTGTATTGTAGTCGATTTTTATTTCCATCCTTTCTCCTATGTACCATTTGCCATTGTCAACCCTGTATAAAATAAAAGATGATATAATAAGATAATAATAAGATGATAACCTTCCCCCACATCTCTTCAGTCCCTATCTTCTCCTAATTATTATTATTTATTTATTTTTTGTGTGTTATGTGCAATGTCTAAAGACAAGTGCATTAAAAGAGGGAGTAAAGTGCGAGAGTGTCTCAACTTGGAACAGAGATGCTGTCCCGCTGAAACCACTTCTCGCCTGTCTTGCCTGCTCTGGTGTTTGTGAGGTTTTCCATATATACATATTCCCTTATTTTCTTTTTCTTTTTTTTCCCCTATTCTATAGGTGCATTAAAAAGGGCTCCATGTTTTGATTAATTCACCTTTTATAGTTCCAGTTGGAACCTTAACATTTATTTTCAAAGATTTAATTTTTAGAGTATATATATACTGTAATTTAAAAGCAAAATCCAACTGTAAAAAAAGACTTAAATTAAGTGCAATCAACTTGGATGTTTAAGACAGTTCAACAAGACTTATAACTTATAGAAAGTTGAAAATTTCCTGAATTATTTTGATTAATTAAAGCAGTGTGAAAACACATTGTCATAACTCATTGATCATATATATATATATATATATATATATATATATTTTTACAATGCAGAAAACACTGCAAAATTGTCACTTTTGTGTTGGGGTAAGCTCATACATCCATTGCCTGTTCTTTTGTTAAGTATTTAAGTAAATTTCATTACAGCCAATAACGATAATGTTTCAGCTCCATTTCACAGATTCCACCACCCCACATCAATGCAAAAAATGTGATAAACGTGATAACAGATTTCGTCTGGACCTGGGCAGAGCTAACGGTTAGCACATTGCTGCAGAATATCTCGGTTTCGGTTGGGTTTACAGGGCGATTTCACCATCCTAACAATTACACGGCCATGCAAATAAAATATTTCCAAACTCCGTGATCAGTGCCCAAAAACCTATAGTATCATGTTGGCTCAACAAGGTACAAAGTCACTAAAATCTTCCGCTTCGTGTCCGTTAACATCAAACTGATATATTTATATATCAACAAACTGAATTAGTGTGTGTTGTATGGGATGTATCTCTCATACACACACACACACACTGATAGACACACACCTCTGTAACACCCCACAACTGTTTCCAATCATTAGGTTCCTGCATGTCTAGGCCCGGTCGCCTCTGATTGCACGACATTGGATCTCATGAAGGGCAGAGGGAGGGCGATTTACACCCGTGGGCTAAAGGAGAGTCCTCTCCACCTTTCCCTGCTTCCTGCACACTCACTTTTCTTTTCCTTTAATGGTTTTTATTTATCTTTAACAACAACACATGACCACCGGTTCAGTCGAATGTGCTCAGTGGAAAATAAGTACACATTTATATTAATTACATTGTTATTACTTATTTACTAACATGTAAATTAGTTACACATTAATTCAGTTATAAGTTCAAAAATGTACATGACTGACCAAATGTATATGAAGAAAATAACTTTATTAAACAGATATTTGTTGTTTTTCGCAGTATATATACGCAGTATCAGGATATTTAAATGTACTGGTGGTTAAGACAATACATACTATGAAAGCACAAAAAGAGGCTACGCTAGCAGGCCTGTGTGAGAGCAGCGAAATATCAGGAGGTCAATGTTGTGTTAAGAAGCATTTAGATACACCTGATTGGTAAGTTTAGAATAAACATGGATCAAATGACAGGAATGTATTTGTCTATAGAATAAAATATCTGTTTTTTCTGCCCAGACGTGTTGTGGTGAAACAATGAACTTGGAATTAAATAATTCTCAAAATGGCTAATATCTCACAGATTCTCGAGACAACGTTTTTTATGCATTTAATTTCAGATAGCTATTAACCCTCATACCATTACCCCTGGATTTGGATTATGGATCGTTCTTTTCATTTAAACAAATTGACATGTTCAGTCTTGTAAATGACTACCCATTCGTGCAAATCTGAAATTGTAAATATTTATCATTTTAAATGAGTACAACTTTTAGAACAGATTATTGGTGCAAATTATTATTAAATGGAGAAAAAAAACATTACTATCCAACATATTGTAAAAATGTCCTCTAGATGATAATCTTGATTGTAACCTGTCTTGTTTATGTTTTATTTTCCCCGCCTGTGGTTATGATTCATAAACCTTGTCCAAGTACAAAGTAAATAAATACATACAACTAAAATACATTTACAATCAATTCGCTTCTAACGTTCACAGATCTTTCAGTCCGTTAATACAGTCAAGATTAAAAAAATAGTGCGAAACTTGGAAATATTATGTAGCATTAATCATTCTCTGCATTTATAAATGCATTTCCCCTCTGTCAGTCTATTGAATTTGCAGTGTACATTTGATTCTGAAACTGGTAAACTGTTTGTTTGACCAATAGCATCAGTTCAGCGGGTGAGAGCTTGTCCAGCTGGTTAAAGGTCCAGCCACAAAAAAAAAAAAAATTTAAAAAAAAATAATAGTCTCCGTTCTGTTCAGTGCAGCAATGAGGCAGAATCCCTTTGAGAAAATATTTTGTGAGAGTGCCTTTAAAATTAAAACTTATATTAATAAAAGTAATATCTTAGGAGGTTTGTTGTAACTGGAAACAAAGCTTCCAGATCAGCACCATTTGAGACAGGGTACATTGTCTGTCTGTATGAATTATGAGATTATGCACTCTCTAGTCTTTGAAGAATTATTTAATCGACCACTAAAATGTTTTGGATGCATGTTTGAGTAAGCATGATTGCACATAAACCGTAAACAAAGGTCAGGTAAATGTATCCCCTAAATTCAGCAAACACTTATGATGCATGTAATAAAATAAACCCAACCGGTCCATAATCGATAAGCAAGTCATTTTCTAGTTTGTGAGAAAGCGTTAACTCATCAACTCGGACATAAACCAGAACCATGTGCACATAAATCAGCTATCATATTTCATTAAAAACACTTAATTTGATGTCTGACATACCTGTAGAGGGTCGCTCTGAGGAAAAGTGAAAAGATCTGTGTTGGTGGGTCAGAGGTCAGCTTTAGGCAGGGTCAGGTCATGGTAGCAGGAGTCAAATGGCTGTTGATGGGGAAGCTGAAGATAGAAAGCAATGTGTTTAACAATCAGAGTCACTCTCTCTCGGGCAGAATGCAGGTTCAGAGTTCAGAGGCTGGTTGGAAGTGGCGTTTCGTAGGGCTGTAGGGTCGGTCGGCGGGATTAGCAACAGATGAACGTCTAGTGAGTGGCGGACATGGACCAAGCACCCTCCATCCTCCAAACGGAGAAGGCGTAGCTCAGCCTCTCGTGGGCCAGGTAGTTACAGCTGGCCAGCTTGGCATCCATCTCATCGCTCTGGAGAACCTGGTAGAGAAAGTCGATGTATCGCGAAGCCAGTTTGAGGATCTGAATCTTGCTCAGTTTGTCCGAAGGCAGCGTGGGGATGATCTTCCGCAGCGAGGCGAAAGCGTCGTTTAGGGACTGCGTGCGCTGTCGTTCCCGCACGTTGGCGATCACGCGTTGTGTGTGGAGGTCCTCGAACGGTTGCCCCGGGACAGGTGACACCGCGCTCACGGTGGGCACTAGGGAGGATGAAGAGTTTGATGAGGACGAGGGGGAATTCCTCTTGGGCCGCTTGGAGGGAACGAGCGCAGACGGGCCCTCCAGTGGCGTTTTGTCGTCCTGTGCTAGGTGTCCACCAGGCTCTTTCTTGGGGCCTGTCAGCCGCTTCCGCGGACCGGCCGGGGGCGCAACGACGACGGGGCACTTGTTGGGGCGACGCTCTTGCTCCTCTTCACTGGGTAGGACCCCACCCTCGGGAAAGTCGCCACAAGACTGTTCCTCTCGCATGACGGCCCGTCGTCCTTTACTTGTCAATCCCGTGCCTCTGTCCTATTTCGCTTTGCTTGTGACCCGTTTTTCGCCTTTGACTGAGAGCAATTTCAAGGGAAAGCAAAACAAATCGAAGCAAAAGACCAACTCGAGAAGGTGCCGGATTATACGGCCATGCATCTGGGCTCGTAAAAATCTCTGTCTCCACGGTATGTCATGTAGCTGTAGGTCAGTTCTTGAAACCTCAAATCACCATCTGGTTGTCAGGTCTTTTATAAAGACCAGTGGTAAGTCTTCGAAAAGCCCTACCTACTTTGATCAGCGATTGGTTGAGAGTTGGGTTGGGAAACAGGAAGGCAATGCGTGTCGTGATTGGAGGAGAGAGCCAAAAGGAGGGGGGCTCGATCTAAGGTAGTGGCAAAGACTCTGCTGTAGAGTTTTCTTGAAATTGTCTGAAGCATATTGGTTCCAGATTTTCCCCCAAAACAAGCCTTTAGTCCATACACACCCCCTCCACCACTGCACACAGCCCAACACAGACAATAGGAAGGAGCTGAGAAGCAGGCTCGCTGTTTCATGCTGTCTCTCTGTTGACTTTATGGCATGGCGAGGTTTTCGGGGGTAAACTGAACATTATTTTGAACATGCTGAGCGAAAACTGATACATTTGTCTCTGCATATTTCATCTGGTGCATTGTAACATTTTAAAAGGTGGTCAAACCGTGATTAAAAAAAATATATGGTGAACTTTAAACTGCTAGTCTGTGTTTATATATGATGTAGCGTCATATCAGCACACTATTAGATATGATTGTGGCCAAGACCACAAAGTGACTTTCAGGCCTGAATTAATCTATTACATTGTTTTTTTAGCTTTATTTTGACCTTTACAACTAAGAACGACTATGTGTCAATTCAAATTAAACCAAACATGCCTTGATTGTGTCCCATTATTGTGATTGATCATTTCAAAATCTCATAACAAAGAACAATGGGATGAAATTCATAAACACAATGAATAGATTTAAAAAGGCAGTATAATCAACAGTTAAAAGTACAAACAATGGGCCTCGTTAACAAAACTGACAGTTTTGTAGGGGTGCAGCAAGGATTTCAATAGACAGAGAGGGACACAATGTTCAGTGCAAGACTAAGGCATTTATGATCGCTGATGGCCAAGTAATGCAACTGTATCCTATTTGTGTTGTCTTGCTATTTTTATTTTTGTGGCGATGAGAAGCAGAAGAGAAGAAAATCATGCATCATTTTCAGGACTGATCAGAAGCCAAGCTTTGGCTGAGCTGTGAGTGTGTCAGATCAGTGTTGTTGGACCTTCAGTACTCCAGGTCCTATATTTAATATCACACCTTATTCAACATTATCAGCTCTTTAGTAGAGGACCTGTGAACTGAAATGAGTGCCAGAGATGGGGAAAGTACAAAATGTGCCATGTTAGAGGGCTATTCACAGTTATAGGCAGCACAAAATGGTGAAAACAATGCTTTTAATGGTGTTTATGTCTATGTGGTGTTTTTAATATGCTTTAAGACAAACCATGTGAAATTCATAAGTTGTCAGCATTGCTCCTTAAAACTGCAGTGAACCAAAGACAGTCTCAAAAACACCGTTTGAAATCGCTGGTGTTTCTGATGTCACAAACCTTGTAACCAATCAGATCAACATGTGATCGTCAACCAGTGGATTTCTGAGTGAGTGAGTGGCTCATTTGCATATTCATAGAATCGCATATAGCCTACTAAAAGGCAAGGGTGTACAGTTACATTCAATCTATTTTAAGGCATGAGAAAAATTTTAAGGAAAAAACATTTAAATATGTAATTTTGGTGATCAAAGATGAGTTTTAAGGGAAAAAATGATTGACTACAGAGGGAGTGCGAGGGACAAATTTTAGTTTTGTTAAAAGTGAAGGGAACAAGTCTTCTCCTTCGTAGTCCATATTTTTAATTTTGTCCAAATTCTTTCTATTCCCTTCCTTCCATTTTGCTAGATGTAAACAACACTGGTCCAGAAACACTTCCTGTTTCAGTTTGTAACTGTTTTCTTTATTTCACATGTAAAGAAATCATTTTAAAGATGTTTGTTTAACTTTTTGATTCAGTTTTACATGTTCTGTTGGTTGTATTTTATCCCAGCTTTTATGTAGTGTTAAAAAAACTGAAAATGGAAGTGCTTCTGGACCAGTGTTGTTTACATCTTGCAAAATGGTCAGTCCGCAGGTTTTCCTCTTTGTCACCATCACAAATTAATCTTTTTGGAAGTATGACCAACATAATAATTTTTTTTTTTTAAAGAACATAATAATTTTCACCGGAAACAGTCAGCAGTTAGGACAGTTAGAAAGGGCACAAGTTGTTGAAGTTGCTAATATGAGCACCATGGCTGAATGTATTAGGTCATGTGTTTTAACCACTAATAGCCTATACGTTAAAAGATGAAAGGTGCAGACATTTAAAGGTGATTATTTAATATCATACATACAATGTGCATGTACAGTGCATGTACCACTCCACATTGTTACGTTTTGTCACAAAGAGTTGGAGCCACTTTCACTGGCATTTTAGCTTGTTTAGATTCGCACCATGGTGGTCCCAGTCAAAACCATCAGCCTCCGGAGCGAATCCGATCACATGTCCCTCCCACACCACACCTGCGTCTGATCAAGACATTTATACGCCACAACGTCACCGAAACTCTTTGACAGGAAATAAACAGCTTAGGGGTACCGCAGTTATGGAGAAACTATTCGACAGCTGATATAAACAATGGTGCGCTGGAGGAGTTCTGGACAGGAGTGAATAAGAACTGGGTCAGCGATAGTAACACAGGATCCCCAGGTGGAAGTGGTACTGAGTGAGTCCACAAGCCTCTCGAGTCCACTGAGATCTCTTCAGCAGACACAGACAAAAAACATTTCTTCAAAAGGAGCCTGTTTGATATGCATATGACACTCGTTTATCTTTTGTTTCATTCAAAAATTCATTAAAATTGTATTCTCACAATGGCTTGAACACCTCTTCCATGATGCCTATGGTTTAATTCCTGTATTAAAATTCATTTAGATTTATTTTGGAAATGCAGAAAGAAAGAAACAGAAAAGAAAGAAAGAAAGAAAGAAAGAAAGAAAGAAAGAAAGAAAGAAAGAAAGAAAGAAAGAAAGAAAGAAAGAAAGAAAGAAAGAAAGAAATGCAAAAATGCAGAAAGAAAGAAACAGAAAGAAATAAAGAAACAGAAAGAAATGCAGAAAGAAAGAAGGAAAATGCAGAAAGAAAGAAAGAAAGAATGAAAGAAAGAAAGAAAGAAAGAAATGCAGAAAGAAATGCAGAAATGCAGAAAGAAAGAAAGAAAGAAAGAAAGAAACAGAAAGAAATGCAGAAATGCAGAAAGAAATGCAGAAAGAAAGAAAGAAATACAGAAAGAAAGAAAGAAATGCAGAAAGAAAGAAAGAAAGAAAGAAAGAAAGAAAGAAAGAAAGAAAGAAAGAAAGAAAGAAAGAAAGAAAGAAAAAAAGAAATGAAAATGCAGAAAGAAAGAAAAAGAAAAAGAAAGCAAAAATGCAGAAAGAAAGAAACAGAAAAGAAAGAAAGAAAGAAACAGAAAGAAATGCAGAAAGAGAAAGAAAGAAAGAAAGAAAGAAATGCAAAATGCAGAAAGAAAGAAACAGAAAAGAAATAAAGAAACAGAAAGAAATGCAGAAAGAAAGAAGGAAATGCAGAAAGAAAGAAGGAAATGCAGAAAGAAAAAAGGAAATGCAGAAAGAAAGAAGGAATCCAGAAAGAAAGAAAGAAAGAAATGCAGAAAGAAATGCAAAAATGCAGAAGAAAGAAACAGAAAGAAAGAAAGAAACAGAAAGAAATGCAGAAAGAAATGCAGAAATGCAGAAATAAAGAAGGAAATGCAGAAAGAAAGAAAGAAAGAAATGCAAAAATGCAAAAAGAAAGAAACAGAAAAGAAATAAAGAAACAGAAAGAAATGCAGAAAGAAAGAAGGCAATGCAGAAAGAAATGCAGAAAGAAAGAAAGAAAGAAAGAAAGAAAGAAAGAAAGAAAGAAAGAAAGAAAGAAAGAAAGAAAGAAAGAAAGAAAGAAATGCAAAAATGCAAAAAGAAAGAAACAGAAAAGAAATAAAGAAACAGAAAGAAATGCAGAAAGAAAGAAGGAAATGCAGAAAGAAAGAAAGAAAGAAAGAAAGAAAGAAAGAAAGAAAGAAAGAAAGAAAGAAAGAAAGAAAGAAAGAAAGAAAGAAAGAAAGGTTTCTTAAATGTCATGTGGTGCGACTTCCCCAAAATGAAAGGCATTTATGAATAATTAATTCATGATATTTGAAAATGTTATATCTTGGATAATGTACACAAAATTTTTTATAAGGAAATAAGGAAAATGTTCTTATATTGTAGTTGATGGTGACACTCAAAGCCATATAGAAAGCCGGAGGAACAGGCTGTCACTGACTCAGAAACACACACCATGAGCTGTCAGTCCTTTCTCTAAGCCGTTCTTCACATGATGCACTGATGCACGAGCTCACACTGAACATCACACTGCCAGTGTGTGTATTACAGCTCGACACCAGAGCTGAGCACGAGACGAGTGTGATCTACGGCAGGTTTGCTCTCCTCAGTCCTCTCACCTTGCATGCTACCACATCGTTGCCTCTGTAACGTGGAGGAATGTCAGCCGGGGGAAAAAAAAAAACACAAAAGGCCCTCTCTCAAAAAAAAAGAAGAAGAAAAAACGACTGAGAGAGGCCAAGAGAAGAAGAAAAAAAGCGAAGAGGGAAAAAGCAAAGCACTGGTCAAACAGAACCATATGGGAGAGTGTGGGGCTGGCTTTGATCTTGGCCCGCCGCCTGATTGATGCTGCGCATTTCATTTCCTCGTCAAGGCCGTGACATAATGTTTCACTAACACTTGAGACCCCTCGCTCTCCTCCTCCTCTCATCCCCTCATCTCTCCAATTCCCCCTGTTTCCACCTCACAGCCCAGCGCTCCCGCCTCGCTAAACAACACGTCCGTCAACATAGCAAAGCATTCCAGGCTTTAAAACGCTCTCTAACACGACAGTCCGCGGACACCTCTGGCCTTAATATCTCCAGCAGCAGGGCTGATAGAGGTTAACACACACACACACTGCACGGGACGGTGGACATCTGCGGACTCGCGATGACCTCACTGTTGCTAGCGTGTGGAAAAAGCGGCGTCATAGATGAAAGGCTATCGCAATCTGTGTTTGTGAGTTTGTTGCTACTACTATGACAATGCAGACATAACAAACGCCTGTGTTAACCCTCTGTAAATCACCGCTGGTATCACAGAATAATGGGATCTGATGAAACTTAATGCGATTACGAAAAAAAAAAACACCTGGCTATTATTTTTATTTAATCAAATTTTTTTGGAGCATTGATCTCATGAGACAGACATGAGTGTTGTTTTGTAAATCAAAACTAGAAATGTTTTTCAATATATCTAAGTATGCCTTTATGCACTTAAAGGGTTAATTCACCCCCAAATTTAAAATGACCTCATGATTTACTCACCCTCAAGCCTCATTCTAGGTGTATATCAGTCCTTCCAGAAAAACGCGGAGTTTTTTTGTGATTGTTGCGGGCAAAAAT